ACTCACTCAGGTGAAAAACAAGAGCCTTTTATCAGGGCTGCCCAAAGCACCCAGATTTTTGCCCTTGACAGCTCCTGGGTTCCGCAGGGCCACAGGCCACATTCTCCTACACTTTCAGTGATTAATTGCTTCTCACCAGCTCATTCAGCACGAATCCTGAGATACCTTCAGCAAGAGCCCTTTTTTTCCCCTGAGTTTATGGAATAACACCCAGGCTCACTGCCCACTTTAAGCTGGATAAGATAGCAGGGCTGCAAAGACGACTGTGACCACAAGCACTCTGTGTGGGGATGTGGAGGTCTCCAAAAGAACCAGACCGTTGTCACAGTTTCAGTTCCCACGTGTGCTGAAGGAGAAGCATGCATCTCTGAAGTCCAGAATGCAGAATGATAAACACAGGTACATCCAGAGACTGCACTGCCTCCCTCATGATGTGCAGGGGGCAAAATGTCTCGGAGGTAGAGGTAACTTCTTGCGGTATGAGTAAAATCAGGAGCAGAAAGAAGAAAAAACAGGTTTTAGTTTGTAAGGGTTTTGTTTGTTTTTGAGAAAGAGGAAGGGAGAGAGAGTGAAACATCGATTTGTTGTTCCATTTATGCAGTCATTGGTTGATTCTCGTATGTGCCCTGACCGGGATTGGATCCACAGCCTTGGCGTATGATCCTATCCCATTTTACAGGTGAGGACACCAAGGACCAGAGAGGTGAAGCCACTTCTTTGCCCAAAGTCCTCCAGCCAGTTAGTGAGTAAGCCTAAAATCCCAGTCTCCTTAATCCTAGTCAGATGGGGTTTCTACAGCTTAATACCAACTTGATTTCTTTTAGGACATAATTTTGAGGGCAGGGATCCTGTGACCTGTTTCTTTTTTATTTTTATTTACTTATTTATTCATTTTTTATCCTCACCCGAGGACATTTTTCCATTTTTTGTTCGGGTAGAGTGAGAGGGAGAGAGAGAGAGAGAGAAACATTGATGTGAAAGGGACACATCGAGTGGCTGCCACCCGCACGACCCAACCAGGGCCGGGGACAAACTGTAACCGAGGTACGTGCCCTTAGCAGGAACTGAACCCGGGTCTCTCTGGACTGCAGGCCGATGCTCTAACCGATGAGCCAAACCAGCCAGGGCTTCTCTTTTATTTTTAAAAGATGTTTAATTGAGCCCTGGTGGGTTTGGCTCAGCGATTGGAGCGTCGGCCTATGGACTAGTGAGTCCCGGGATTGGTTCCCGCTAGGGGCACGTACCAAAAATAAATAAATAAATAAAAACAAAAAGATGTTTAATTGATGTTTTAGAGAAAAAGGAGGGGCAAGGGGGGGGGGGAGAGAGAAACAGTGATGTGACAGTGAGACATTGATCAGCTGCCTCCGGTGATCGAGCCTGTAACCCTGGCCTGTGCCCTGACTGGGAATCAAACCAGCAACCTTTTGATGTACAGGACAACGCTCCAACTGAACCACACTGGCCATGGCTGGTCTGTTTCTTTAAAATCTCTGCATGGATATAGGGTGGTGCCTTGCTCATGGTAAGGGGTTCAGCCAGTGCTGTGGACTCATCCGATGGATCGTGTCTCCTCTGCCGGGCAGGGTTTGTTCATTCACAGGCCAATGCCAGACCCACCCGCAAGGCAGCACGGAGCCAGGGGACCCGTGAACAGCAGCAAAAGCACCAGCCAGACAGGGCATCACTTACCCTTACCCTCCCTTCAGGGCAATTTCAATTCTAATTCTACTTTGAACAATTCCATTTAGGAGGACAAACACTTCTCCTGGGAAGCAGGGGATTAAGGGCAGAGTGATTGGGTTTAGTGGTCCAATGGAGTCTCATTTTCCACAGGAACTGGTTCCAAGCCCTCCTGTAAGGCAAAAATCACATGATGTGAAAATTGCCCTTAGAAATCCTTTCAGACACCCATGGAGTACAACAAGCAAACATATCACTTCTCAGGGAATCCCAGCCAGCCAGCTTCTCCCTCAGCTTGGAAGAGAGCTCTGTCGCCTCAGCTGAGCAGCAGAGGAAACCACTGGCAGGCAGGGCCCTCCTGGACCAGAAACATTTCTCTTTGAGTGTGATAAGATGCTGGTGTGATATGAGGCCAGGAAAGGGCTGTCATGCATGTTCCCAAGCCACACTCACTATTGGCACCACATGTTCACTGGGTGGAGGACAGGACACCCGTCTGCTGCACTATATCACTGCATACATCTCTCTCTCCCTCTGTACACACCCCCAAACTGAGCTTGACTTCGTGCAAATTAAATGGGTGCTCCAGGCATCACCCCCTTAACACCCGTCTCTCAGCACGCTGCCACCTTGGGCTGCCACCCCTGACCCACAGAGACTGTGAAATAAATGTTTGTGTTTTTAAGCTGCTAAATTTGGGGATATTTTGTTATACAGAATAAAAATGGAGAATTCTATACAAGGGGATAGCTGGACAGGCAGGCTGAGGAATGTGAACTTGGTTCAGGGGTGCGTTTTCCAGGGGAGAGCGATGGGACCGGGTCTGTCCTTTAGAAAGGTCCCTGGCTGCAGAGAGGTCACTGTGGGAGGGGCAAGGCTGCCAAAGAGACCAGTTAGGAGGCTCTACAGTTGTCTAGGCAAAAAAAGACTCAGATTGAGACAACACAGCAGAGATAGAGAGAACAGAGGTGCAAGAGAGTTCCTAGTAAGAATGGTCAGACCTGCGTGGCTGGTGTGGTTCAGTAGATTGAGCGTTGTCCCTGAGGACTGAGAGGTCCCGGTTTGATTCCTGGTCAGGGCACATGCCCGGGTTGCCGGCTCAATCCCCAGTGGGGGGCAGGCAGGAGGCAACTGATCCATGTTTCTTTCTCACATTGATGTTTCTCTCTCCCTTCCTCCCTCTCTAAAAAAAGTCAATAAAAACATATTTCAAAAACAAGAATGATCAGACCTTATTGATCAACTGCCTACAAATAATGAAACAATATTATCAGCTAATTTTGTTTGTTAATCCTCACCTGAGGATATTTTTCCATTGATTTTTAGATAAAGTGAGAGGGAGGGAGTCAGGGAGGGAGGGAGAGAAAGAGAGAGAAACATCGATGTGAGGGAGACACATCAATTGGTTGCCTTCCACACGACCCTGACCGGGGCCAGGGATTGAACCTGCAGTCCAGGTATGTGCCCTTGACCAGGAATGGAACACATGACCCTTCAGTCCATGGGCCCGACCATCTAACCACTGAGCTAAACCAGCCAGGGATCAGCTAGTATTTATTTATTTGTTTGTTTGTTTTTTAAAAGAGGAGGTAGCGTGGGGGTGGAGGCAGGGCCTTTTATTATCATTGATTTTTAGAGAAAGGAAGAGAGTGAGAGAAACATCAATTTGTTGTTCCCCTTATTCATGCATTCACTGGTTGATTCTTATAAACGCCCTGACCAGGAGTCCAATTCACAACACCGTGGCATATTGGGATGACGCTCTCACCAACTGAGCTATCCAGCCAGGGCCCCGCTAACATTTATTGACAACTTAATATGTACCGAGCACTATTCTAACCACCTTACACATATTCACATATTTAATGCTCACAACATCCTTAGGTAGATCGACTCTACTGTCATCTCATTTTGCAGATGAGAAAACTAAGGCACAGAAAGGCTATGTGACCTGCCCAATGCCATTCAGCCAGTGAGCAGCAGAGCCTGGGTTCAAACCTGGGCAGCTGAGCCTTTAACTTCTCACTGGACCTCCTGGGGAGGGATGAGAGAGAGAGAGAGAGAGAAGGAGGGGCAGGTGGGACAGGGGTGAGCTCTCAGGTTTCTAGTCTGGGCGACTGAGCGCAGCCTTGCCCAAAGCAGGAGCAGATGACTTGAAAGAAAGACAGTACATCACCAATCACCTACTAATTCCCTGTGTAGCTCATAGGAGCTGCTAATGGGCTCAACTACAACCCAGCACGTGAAATGTAGAATAACATCCGGACGTGGCACCAGGCCGCACTTCTACCACACTCCAGTAAAAATAAACCTCTCTGTCCAAATATAGAGTGGTTAGAAGTGCCATGTTTTACAGGAGAAGAGGCAGTTATTTGGCATTAAAAATAGACAAGTTCTGGCTTCCCTGCAGATCTGGGCAAGAGCACTGCAATTTCCAAGTGGAAACCCAGATGGACGGGGTAGGCCCCCCTCAATCTGACTCAGCTCTTTAAAAAGTCCAACAGAAAACTGCATCCCCTTTCTGGGCCTCAGTTTACTCATCCATAAAAGGAAGAGGTTAGACAGGACGGTTCAGTGGCACTTCCAGCTCTCACTGTCTGTGAGGGGAGGAGCTGGAGTCCAGGGCTGGTCACCAGAGAGCCGGCTGCTTCCTAAATCATCGGCCCGGCACTGGTGAGGCGGGCTGGCCCTTTGGCGTTCAGCTTACTGCTGACAGGACCAGGGGTGGTTTTCCCCAAGGATTTTCAGAACTCTGTCAAGAGCTTTAAATTACTCTCTTGAGTCAGACACATTGTTAACCCACGAAGAAATGCAAGCCAGGAAGTCCCCCTACAACTAGCTTACCTCCGGAGATGATACCTTGATAAAAGAACACCGAAGCCCAGCCTGACAGGGGTGGGGGTGTGGGCAGGTCTTTGCACACATTCCCTCTAGTCCTGCAGGGCAGGCACAGCTGTTACGGTACACAGGGGAGAACTGACAGCGCAGAGAGGTTACATAACTTGCCTAAGATCATTCAGCTGATGGAGGCTGGAACTGGATCCCACTCCAGGTCTGGATCCAAAGCCTATGTCTTTCCACCTCATGGGGCCTCTGCTGTGCTGCTTACTGTGTGGTCAGAAGGCTCCTCTCCAGTCCGAGACGGGAAGGGGGAGTCCTGACAGGCCGGGAGCCTTGGGGGTAACTCAGGAGGGCAGCTGAAACACGTCAGGAGTTGCAAAGTCCCTCACGGGGCCCGTTGCATTTGTACCACACCTTGAAACAGATCGGCTTTGCTTTAAATGGTTTTATTAAAAACTGTACCAATTGATGGGGGACACACACACACATACACGCACACACGCACACAGATGCACACACATCTGAAGAACAGAAAGTCAAATACTCTGTACAGGTTAAAAAACAATAGATCCCCCTTCCCCTCCCTCTTTCCCTGTCTCTCTCCCAGAGGCAGAGTGCCTAGAACCCAGGGCAACTAATCTGGGATGAACAAAATGCTACATTCTCACTGGGTCTCCCCTGGCAGCCCTGTGGACCCAGGGAGAGGGTGGCCCGCTGGGCAATGCACACAGAGCAGGGGAGGCGCTGGCCACTTGTGCAGAGGAAGGGTGTGTGGACCCGGGAGCCTGCTCAGGCTCTGAGCACCTTCAGCTGCCAGGCTGGTGCGTCTCTGGAAGGGCTGGGCTTTCTCTGCCTCTCCCTCCAGGCTCCAAGTCCTCACCAGACCTGAGGTGCCTGTCCACTGCCCAGTGTCTCCAGGAGGCTTCACAGGCTGATAGGTTCACCCCTCCTTGGACAGTCTGGCCAGGGTGGCCTGCCACCAAGGGTCTCCGCCTACATACAGAGGGGCCCTAAGCATACTCCAGCCTGGGCTGCAGCACCAAGTCACAGAAGCCCTGAGAGCAGTGGCAATTTAAGTATTCCTGCTTCTGCTGCTCTCTTCTCCCCACCCCTAAGACAAGTCCCCCCCAAAGGACAAGCTTTCATGTACTCTTTGCTGACTAGGACAGTCAAGTGGCTCCCTCCCCAGCCTCCGTCCCAGATTTCAGACAGATGGAGGCCCTAGATGGACCGTCCCAATCAACCCCCGCCCTGCCATGACCAGCCAGGAGCCAGCCGTGGACAGGGCTTGGCCTCCGGGGACAGTGAGACAAGTCAGCTGGGCCCCTCTGAGCACTTTGAACATGCCTGCTGCATGAGCTCTGGAAACAGACCTACTCCCCTCGGGGGGTTGGGGAGGTCACTGGGAGGTGATCTTTTTCCGCCTCAGACTGAGCAGCAAAAGGCCAAGGGGACAGCTCTCCAGCAGCCCAGACTTCGAGGCAGGCAAAGGCAGGGAGGCCAGGCCCAGTCCCCCAGCCAGCCGAGGAAGTCAGATGTCTGGCCTGGGGGGTCCACTCCACTCCTCAGTTCTGTACACAGGCTTCCAGAAACCCCTGCCCTGGGGTTCTGAATTGGAAGAGCTGTTCTGACCCTGAATAGCAGGGCATTTCTACAGTGAGGAGGGAGGTTTCCAGTCCCTCTCCCACCCCCAACCGGCAGCAAACCACAAAAGCTCCACAAGTCTTCAGTTGGTTACAGGTCAGGACCCAGGTCAGACTCTCCCTCCCTCTCAATCTGACTCTCCACCCCCTTACTGGAGACAGCCAAGCCTCTGGGGGTGAGGGGTGGAAAGAGGGGGCCCAGGGGGAGGGATGTGTCTCCTGAGGCTGGATTTGAGGAATGTTCAGACCAATTCAACAGGCAGAGGGGGAAGGGGCTGGGTCTAGATCACTCGGCCAATTAAAGCCAGCCAGCAGGAGGAACCTCTCTCCTGGGCTCTTCCAGAGATACCTCCTGGGTTTCCTGGGGGAGGGGAGAGGAGGGAGGTTTTACATTTTGCCCTGGCTTGCTTAAGATAGTGAGTTCTTGGCTTCACAGAAGGTGGAGACGGTGCAGTCAGACCATCTTCCACCTGGCCCCAGGCTCCATGTTCAGATAGGCTTGTCAAACTCTGGGCTCAGATCTTAGGACAGGCCCTCCTGGGCCTGGCAGGGTCCCTCAAGTGGATGGCTTTGCCTCAGCACCGAAGTCTGGACCATTTATTTGCTCTCTCACTCAGCCAAGGTGGGAAGTCTGCCAAGAGGGGTTCAAAAATGGTTGGTAGGAATAGTCCTGGTTGTCTTGTGTGTTCCACTTAAGCATATACCAGCAGCCTGCCTGTCACAGCCTTGGTCCGGGAGAGGGGAAAACATCACATGTCCTCTGCACATCACAAACGGCGTGGAGACACGCAGGGAAGGCTGCATTTCACGGTGGTCAGCGTCTTCCAGAGCCAGCCCACCTGCCTGTTCTCTGGGTTCCTTCTGGTGAGTAAGAACCCATCTTCTTAGCAGACAAACCATGGTACACACCCTGAGAAGATAATTCTGGCCAAGAAGAGGTAATACCTACCTCCAGAACATCTAAGTAGAACAAAACAAAGGCTTTTGCACAGTTTGAGGTCCTTCTCCTCAGGGCCACTAGGAGCCCGTATGGCACCTTCATGCAAATTAGAAAAGGCACCAGTTCTTCTGGGCAGAGAGCCCTACACTGGGACCTACAACTTAGTGGGAGAGCACAGGCTGGGCTTCAGCCTCTATCATCTCCCTCTGCGGGTGCCCGTGTGCAGTGAACAGCCTGCCCACAGGGCTTCCTTCAACAGGACCGAAGACCCCTCCTTGCGGACCTGGAGGAGCTTGGGCTTGTTCAGATCCGAGTCTTCAGTTTCCTTGGGTAGCCCCGGGGTCTTCTCTGCCCAGGAAAGCCATCTTTTCTTTGGGCCTTGCTTTCCTGTTTAGCACCAATGTTATCGTTTCCTGCATATGCAAAAATTATCATTTAATTTCTAGGTGTCTATTCACAGGTTCTGTTCACCAGATTCGCTCTGTTGAGATTCCGTGTCTGCTGTCAGAGCGGGCAGGCTGGCTGCTTTAAATTCTCTCCATTAGCGCCACAGCAGGGAGGAGGGCAGTTCAGAGGCAGCTGTGACCCTGCTGAGTTCCAGAGCAAGCCCTTCTGGCCCAGCTGGAAGCTGAAGGAAGACAGGAAATGTGGACCCAGCTTTGATGGTTCTGCACTCGAATCTGTTGTCTGTTGCTCTAAAAGACACATTCAGTTGATGAAGTCACTGTGCTGGCTTCTTCCTGTGTCTTAGTAGGTGTGAAAAGGGAATGGGGATGAGGAGGAGGAGGTATGTTGTTTCTAAGGAAACCAAGGGGCCTGGGTCCCTCTAGGGAGGACTCTTACGGGTGGGACGGCCACATCTCCCAGTCCCACTGCAATCCTGCCCCTTCCTGCCCTCGAGTTCTGTGATGGGGTGGAATGCAGTCCGCTGCTGGGTCTTTGGAAAGGAGAACTGACAAAGGCACAGGCTGCTGGAGACAGCACGCTGATTGGCTATGGCTCATCCGTGGCTGACACCCAGCCAATTCCAGGAAGCCAGAGGTGGCAGTGGTTCTGTACCTCAGGACCCATCCTGGGGCCTCCAAGTGGGACCAAGTCAGATCTGAGGCCTGTACAGAAGTTTGGTTCATTTTTGCGGCATGTTTGAGGGGTCCTTGGAGAAACCCAACCCTCCCTGAGGTCTCCTGGAGATGACAGGGGCTGGGCGAGAATCCCTGAGCCCATGGGGCGGGCACTGGCTGGGCCAAATGCAAACCCAGATACAGGCTGACCGGCCTAGTGAAGTTGCCATGCTCAGTTGGAAAGCCCCGGCCAAGGCCCTGGTGGGTTGGAGCAGGGTGACTGTCCGGGTCTTGGCCAATCCACGGTGGAAGGCTGGCAGGTTTGGCGGAACCAGGAGTGTAATCCAGTCTCCTGTTGCTTAACTGAGTTCCTGTGGGTCAACTCCAGTCCACACACCAGAGAACATCACTACCTGGGCATCTTCGACAACTGCGAACTGAAGAACCTGCTTGTCAGAGCCCCGGGGAGGACCCGCCATCAGAGACACGTCAGCCTCTACTTCAACAGTGTTTGACAAAGGACCTCATTCCTGGTCAAGGCCCTGAACAGGGAGAAAGGTCCCACTTGGGTATGTCTTATGTACACACAGAGATAGATTTTTAAGATAAAAACAACTTCACAAGACACAGTGTCAGTCCTCGCCGACGTCCTTCGCGTGGTGCCCCGTCCGCGGCGGGCAGCCCAGCCTCACCTGGGACCTGCCCCGTTCCTGTTCTCATCTCCGTTCAGGGCGAGGTTGTGCAGGAAGAGGAGGACCTGCCACCAGACGCGATTTCGGTTCTGCTGGTGCTGAAAGGGGAAAAAAACAAAATCAGCGTGACTCCCAAACACAGCCTTAGATGACTCCTTATCATTTCCAATAAAAGTTTAGATCAACATGTCTGGGGCGGCGCTTTAATCCTATCAGCACAGCGAACGGGGTGGGGACAGGAGAAGTGGCGATGAGGGGGAGATAGTTGAGTTCTCCAAAAACAATTGCAGTTTTAACATTAAAAAGAAAAGACCAGGCTTTTTATGCACTGTGCACAAGAGGATTAAACTTTTTCCCCTGCTTGCAGGATTTTCCAGAGTTTAGCCAAGTGCTGCTTTTAATCAGATTGGCTCCTGAGCCCCTCAAACCTCAGCTGCACGAACAACAAACTTTCTTCAGAAAGAAAGAAGTGCCCCCCTTTCTCCCCCCATTCCAAAGTAACACAGAGAACAAGGGGGAAAAGGGGGGAGCCTCCATCTGCAAGTGATTTGACACTGTGAAGGTCAAAGGGTTAATCTTCAATTTAAACCACACTGCTGAGGCAGCAAAAATCTGATTTCATCCAGTGCAAACACGCACACAGACAGACATACACACACACACTTGTGTGCCTGCCCTCTCTCCCTTCCCAGCATCTCCAGCTCAGCACTGCCCTTTTTATAGCTGCTCTTGACAGTAAGCCATAAATAACCCCTCTTGGAGCGCTTTCCTACTGACTGGAGCCAATTAAATGTTAAGCAAGAACATACTTGAAAACAAAACAAAAACAAAGAATGCACACTACTCTCTGGAGGTTATCCCAGGTCCTACTGTCAGGCAGGGAAACTGGGGGCAAAGGTCAGGGGTCAGTGGCTCACAGGATTGTGGCTGGTGCCCCACCCACACAGGTACCATTTCCTTGGGGCCAGAAGAGGCCATGAGGGGACTGAGGGGTGCTGGAAGAGGCCGTCTTTGTTCTCCCCTTGTCTACCAGGGCAGGAGGACTGGGCTGGGGCCCTCTCCACAGGGTTCTCAGTGGACAGGGGAATAAAAACCGAGAGTGCAGAAAGAAACCAGTGCAGGCTGGACTCGGACTGCTGCCGTGCCCCAGGCAGCAAGCACATTTATCTCAGGGTTGGGGGAGCTGGAGCCCTCTCGGGCTGTCATTAACCACAGCCCTGGCTACCACCAGGAGACTCCTAGTCAGAGAGGAACAGGGTAGGGTAAGTCAGTGGCAGAACTGGAAAGTGAGTCCAGGTCTCCTGGACTCCCCGAGCTTCGCGGGTACACCTGTCCCAGGACAAGCAGGCTGCTGGGTTCCCTTTCATTCTGCCTTAGGCCATGAAGAGAAGATAGGTGAGGTATCGCTCAGGCTGACCTCAGAGCCCTGCCAACCCAGGAGAACAGAATGCCCCATGCCTGTGGCAAGAGTATTCTTCATGCCCCTGAGAGAGACTGGAAAACAACTCAGAAAGGTGGAGGCAGAGCTACCGCTGGGAGGGGCAGCGAAACCAGGCTGTGCCACGGGAGGCCTGGCAGAGCGCGGCCTGCGGAGACTGATGGCTTCCTCGTGTTTTGTAAACAAAGATGAGTAAAAAGAGGAAACACACCCGGCTTAACAAAATCTGGTTACAGTAAAGCAGCGTGAAAACGGACTCAGCTGCAAACCTGAAGACTCAGGCCTGCAGCAGCTGGGCAGAGCACCCTGCCCTTCGCCTCCCCAGCTGCTGCCCAGGACAGGTGCAAAGGTCACGGGGTGGAACAGGAGGAGATTCCAGGAAAAGACTGGTCCCTGGAGAGGCCAGTCTGCTGGAATTCCCAGTCTCCTCAGGTGCCTGTTTGAAAAGGCTAAGTAACAGTAACAGTCATGATTGTAACAATAACAGTAACACTGAGCGTGCAAGGCTCTGTTCTGAGTGTTTTTATGTCTCTTCCTCTCAGAGTGTAGTCCATGGACCAGCAGCTTCAGCATCATCTGAGAGATTATTAGAATTTAGATCTAGTACGTCAGAATGTGATCCTGTGACTTTGAGACACATTGTAGTATGAGAAGCACTGCTTTATATACATTAAACTCCTTTGGTCCTCTCAACAAGCCGATGAGGCAGGCATATATGACCATCCCCATTTCACAGATGAGATCACTGAGAGAGTTAGGTAACTGGCCCACATAGCTAGTAAGTGTCAGGGGCTGGACTGAATCCAGACTACCTGACCCTACAGTAATGTCCTTACCCATTATCACTGTGCTCCCATATATACATTTCTTTATACTAAGTCTGACCCTCGATTCTCCCCTTCTCTAAATCATCTCAAAACAGCACAATAGCGAGGGAAGGGAGATCACAATTCTATGATTTGGGGCCTGGTCCAATCCCATGTCTGTATGCCTCAGTTTCTCCCAAATTCCCCTAATAAAAGCCACCTGCTGCCTGGGTAACTTCCTGAGCCTTCAGGTCTCTGGGAATAAGACGAGGCAGCCCTCACTCCCATCCCGGGGGCTCCTGGGGGACCCCGACTAGCTGTGGGCCAGAGAGTACCATCAGACAGGAAGGCTGAGATCTTGCTGGGAAAAAGGCCTGGGCACAGAGGGGCACGCAGGTCCACCCAGGAAGGTCCTGGTTCTGTGCCTCTGCCTGTAACAGACGTCAAGGCAAGGAAGGCTCTGGGCCACGAACCAGGCCCTGGCTGTGGGCTGCGGTCTTTCACCGGCCTGTGAGTCCTCGCTTTCCTTACAAATGAAATGCAGGTGCCCAAACCCAACTGTCACGGAATCCACTGAGGTGCTGCTGTACGCAGAGTCCGGGTCCCACCCAGACCAACTGGGTCAGAATCTCCAGGAAAGGGGCCCAGGAATCTGCATATTAGACAAGCTTCTTGGGTGATATCTTTTTTTTAAAATCAGAAGTAACATTTATTACATGCTTTAGTCATCAAAGTAATACATGTTAAGTGTAGAAAATTGGAAAATACAAGAAATTGCAGAGGAGAAAAACTCATTCACGCTCCTATAGCCTAGAAGAAAACACGTCATGGTTTGCTGTTCTCCTCACCCTCTTTCAACCTCTTCCCACCAGTGGAATGACTCGGCCAAGTCAGAGAAAATCCTGCCCAGGTGGTCCCACGGCAGCCAGGCCACAGACGGGCATCTGGAAACCACTGAGGTGCTTTCCAACCCTCAGGTTTGGGGATTCGGAGTTTGTCATCCACAATTACCTTCCAGATTACATCTCAGAGCTCCAACAACTGAATCCAGTCGGGCTGGTGAGGGTCCGGGGGCCCGGAGAGTGGGCTGCCTCGTACGGAGTATGCTGGCGGCTGCAGCAGCTGTGAGACCAGCAGGAGCACCGGGAACTCGCCTCCGGCCCCACTCGCCCTCCCTCTGGGCATGAGCAGATGCCACACACACGCCTCTTGGCCTTCTCCTGCCACAGGGCAGCCCCACAAGGCCCTCCACTGAAAGGAAACCCAGCTGCTTCGTACCAAGAGAATCAAAGAATGCCCTGATTTTGAGGAGCAACAATAAATATGTATTTTTTAAATTAAACAAAAGGGCCTGTCTAGAAAGAAAAAGGACTTGCAGGGAGGCCAGGGAGAGAAACAGGGAGGAGGAAGGAAATGAACATTCGCCCAACAGGATGAAGCACACAAAGACACCACAACGCCAGAGAGCGATCCTTCCAGGGGAGGGTGTGGAGGAGAAGGGGAGAAGGAAGAGGGAACCAGGAAAGATTGCGCTTGGCCTCTGGCTCTCAGTACTTGGCACAGCCACAGCACAAAATCTCAGATCAATGAGTGCAAACCCCAGAGCAGGGCCCAGCTCCACAGACTGGGCCTGAGCACCCCTCGCAGTATGGGAACCTGCAGAGGGGGCGCTCCCAGAATGCAGCCACGGTGCCCTGAGCGCTAAGGGGCTGGGCTACAGGGCAAGGGAAGCTGGTGGCAGTTTAAGCTTACACCAGAAGCACTCAAACACAGAGTCTAGAGGGCAGGACCAAGGCATGGAGGGAAAGAATAGTGAATTCCCAAGGGAAGAGGCTCAAACACGGTGGATAAAAATACTCTCTTTAGTTAAGAGAGCAGAGCCAGCCCGGTCAGTGTGGCTCAGTGGTTGAGCATCAACCCACACACCAAGAGGTCGCTGGTTCGATTCCCAGTCAGGGCACATGCTCAAGGTGTGGGCCCACCCCCAGTGGGGGGCATGGAGGAGGCGGCCAATAGATGTTCGCTCTCACCTATGTTACTATCTCTTTCTCCATCTCCTTTCCTCTCTCTCTAAACTCAATAAAGAAAAAAAATTTTTTTTAAATATAAAAAGAGAGAGCAGAGCCAGGCGTCAGAGACCTGGAGTTTTGCTTTGACTCAGTCCTATTTTCTTGCTGGGGTCAGGGGATGAAGGTGGTCTTCTGACGAGTATGCCAGTCACCCCCACTGTGTGCAAGGCACTGTGACTGAATGGGCATTTATCCTGTATAACAGGGAACAGGTAAGGACACACAGTAGGTACTCAACAAGTACACACTGGATCGACTACAGAAAAGTGAGCCTTGTAATATAACTCACTTGTCTGAGGCCAGGAACAACTGATGTCTGGCCAGGTCTGTAGATGTACTTGATGTGATAGTATCAGCCTCCCGCCTGGGGAAAGGCCCAACTAGTAAAAAGGCTTTTCCTAAGAGCTTGCTGTGGTGTCTGACATGGTTGGATTATACAAATCAAACTCTGTTTCATCCCCTGTGGCCTCTGCCCTAAGCACAAAGAGTGTTCCCTGCCCTCCCCAGATAAGAATCTCCCTCTGCCTCTCCCCTTCGGATCCAATTCACACCCTGAAATGGGGGGGAGGGGGGGGAGCAGTGTTCCAGATGCTCCAGCAAGAGGTAATTCACCCTGAAGAACTAGAGGAAAGAGCAAGGCTACGCCATGGCCCTACTTTTAAAAAACCCTGCAAATTTACCAAACAGACAGCAATGTATTGTATCTCATACTTAGAACAGAGTACTTTCTTATCTTCCTGCTTGCTCCTCACAAAGATCTGGGAAGAGGGGCAGGTGTTATCACT